ATACCCCCAACCCCCACCCCACCCCTGCCCTCGCCACCCCCACCACTTCCCCTGCCAACCCCACACCCCATCCCCGCTGCCAGCGTAGAATCGTCAGAGCTGTTGATAGAAATTCTCTCTTCAGGGTAAGATGTGTGTGCTGTGCATCTGTAGTAGGTAAATCTCTGCTTTCCTGAAGACTCACTCATACCCAGAGTGCTTCTGTTCCCAAGCCTGAAACCTTCCTAAATGTCCTCAAAGCAACCTACTCCGTGCATGTGGGAAGAATTCTGGAGTGGAGGGGCCCTCTCTACTTCCACAGCGGCACTCCAGCCGGGAAAGGCTGGATGCAGAAGCTCGAGGAGTATGCTGCAGTGGGCCACGACTTACCAAGCTGTCTGAGAACTGTTTAGGAAGTTTGCTTCCACCTTCCCTGGGCCTGCTCTGCCCAGGAGGTAGAACTGGTGACGGATGTGTGCAGTGCTTGAGGGAGAGGCTCATAGCTGTGATTTGTGCCCACCAATTTGTCCAGACTCAGCTGTCCCTGGGGAAAGGAAAAGAGTGCCTCTCCTCTCTCTGTCTGCCTTGAATCTAGTCACACACACACACACACACACACACACACGTCCCTTCCCCCAACCAACCCACAACCTCAGCCCTAGTTCTCTCTGGGGGCCTCCTTGGAAAGGGATAGACAAGCAGATCTGTCCGCAGCTCTGGAAAAGATGTCCTGTCCCCTACCCTAGCTGGAATGAAGCCTACTAGCTGGGGCATATAGGCACATATTTGAATTTCCTGCCAGTGTATATGTGCCAGAACTTTCTATCCCAGCAATGTGCCTGTGCTTGCCGTGAACACAACTCTGTCATCAGCCCACTTATATTTGTAGATATGCACATTTTCCCTGTGCATACACATATACACATGGGTGTGTTCATGCTCGTGTGGATGCTTTTACGTGTCTGTTGTACCTGCATGTGCACTTCAACTACCCACTTGATGATTCACTGAGGCTTGGAGTGACAAGAGGGCTTTGCCTCTCATTTGCCATGCACTTTTTGAGTGAGACCCTTTTCCTCTCTGGATTCCCCCATCTTCACCCCCTTGCCTGTAAAATAAAACCTTTTTATTCAAAAGTTTCCCAGGACAACCCCAACACCAGGAGTACACTGGAAGACTGATCAACACATTTAGGAAGGGCATGGTGAGAATCAATAGAGGTCTAGCTATTCTGTTTCCCAAGTCCCCATGCAAGGCCAACCTTCTCTGAGTTCAGAATAGGAGGGAGTTCAGAGAGTTCTCTGGTCTAGCGAAGACGGAGGATGAATGGAGCACTACTGTACCACCTCCCCTAGGTGGGGAGGATAGTCTTCAGTTTGGATTCACTGTGATGTCCAGCTTAAATAGACCTGGACTATAAGGCAAAGCCAGGGGAGGACCACTGGATGGATGGTTTCCTTGCCTTTAGCCTCCTTCCCAAGTGCATAGCAGAAGAGGAACAAGAATTAAGTTACCTATGTAGCCAGAGGAAGGGCTTTTCTCAAACACACAATGGAAAAGCTGTGCTGACCAACGGAGAAAGTGATGGCCACTCTGGAGAAAACACAGCAAACACCTGCATCCAGAAGAGTCTGGCCAGGCGCTCTTTAGCCCTGGCCTTGGCTTGCAGTGCCTCTGGGAGTCAGCAGAAGCTCACCCTTGCCCCTCCAGCTCACCTTGTTGGCCTTTTTTTTTCCTTGAGGACAGTGGTGGAGGGATGGAGGCACTGTGGCCTCCCAGATGGTTTCATCTCTGGAAGCCCTGCCACAGGTGGGAGGTGGGAGTGTGGGTCCAAGGAATGGGCAGAGGAGCCACTCTGCAGCGTCCCGTGTAAGGGGCCTCTCTGATCTGGGCACACATACACACAGCCACAAACACTAAACAGTCACTTTCGGTCGAGGTCTCTGTGCTCAAAGCACACACTTCCACCTCCCAAGCCTCAATAAATACATCAACACAGCCTCTAAACAAACACCCATACACAGCATGCTCTCTGAACTCATAAGCATACACCCAAATATTACAATATCCTCTTTCTACAGTACTTTCTCCTTCCTCTAGCCCCGTCCACATGCAGCACCCTCCACCAAGGAAAAGGAGTTTTCCAGGAAGAAAACAGAGACCTTTGCCCTTAGAATGAGCCAAAGATCAATATTGTTTAGACTTGGCTAGCACGTATTTCCTTCTAGGCTGAAGAAGATTTAAGTTTATGGTTCAATCCAATCTTTAAGGGGGAAAAAAGGGAAAGGCAGAAAATGAGGAAGTTGTGATGGAGTGTTCAAGTATTTATCTCCATGTAGCCCCAGACTTTAATACTCAGGCAGCTCACTAAGCCAGCCCCATAAATCAGAGAAATCAATGCCTGTTTATGATCATTATTACTTTCAGTTTTTTCAAAAAAAGAAGGGGGTATGCAAGAAAAAGTCTCACCAGGGTCCTCTTCCCCTCCTTCCTGCCCAATCAGGAAGAATGAATGTGTGAAAAGGGGAGCAATAGAAGATAGGAAAGTCATTCTGGGGGTGACTTCAGGGCCCTGGGCAGACTCTTGTGTATGTGCCCTACAGATACACAAGCATGGAGGAGACAGGGACAAAATGTTTAAGGTCTCGGAGTTTCAGTTTCCTTTGCTGAACAATGAAGAAAATGCCCATAGTGATTAAAACATAAATGCAGATAATGAGCAAAGAATCAAATTATTTAACATTCAGTGTCTACACTTTGATAACATCACTTTGCCCCTCCTCACCTGCTGGCTTTGCGCTCTAGAAAGAAATGGAGAGGAGCCTTAAGGAATGGTACTATTCCTAAAACTGCTGCTCACGTTGCCTGTGTTTAGTCCTGAATCTGGTGGTCTTGGGGAGCTTAGCCACCCTAACTATCCCACGGAGCCACAGTGGGAAAGGGAGGAGGAAGGGTAGCCCAGTGGCTAGGCTCTCAGAATGGTAAAGTTTCTGTGAGGCTAAACACCCCACCTCATATCTGGATGTGTTTTGAGAAGGCCAGGACTCTTATAGAAGTTCTGAGCAGCAGATAAGAGGACAGGTACCCTGAGCCTCAATACCCACACTCTCTACTGAAGGAATGCGGGGGCTTAAAGGTTCGTAGTTCCACTCCCAAAGGAGAGCAAAGCATGCTTTCCAGCCAGCTTCAAGGCCCGTGTATCATTTCATCTAACTCACAGGTGGGTTGTGCAAGCATTACTCAAGCAAACAATGGTGGGGTAGAAGAAAGGAGATTAGTGCAATAGAGTTGGGGACCCACAGCAATACCAAATGTACCCTTTAACTCCATTCCAGGCCACCCAACCCCAAGTTTTCAAGCCCTTGTGCAAAGACTTGAAGGGGCTTGGATTTGGGGGCTGGCACTGTCATTTTCCTGGCCAGGAGTGAGTAGGTCATTGGGCTAAACCACGGAGAATAAGTAACCATCCTCATTTCTCACAAAAACAACTGAAAAGAAACCTAAGAAAGGTGCACAAAGCCGGGTGTGGTGGCGCACATCTGTAATCCCAGCACTCGGGAGGCTGAGGCAGGAGGATTGTTGCGAATTCAAGACCAGCCTGGGCTGCAAAGTAAGCTCAAGGCCAGCCTGAACTGCATAGCGAGACCCTGTCTCAAAAAGACAAAAAAAAAAGAAAACAAACAAACAAGAAAGGTGCACAGATCAAGTATTCCCATGCATGCACGAGCCCCCGGAAACACACCTGCAAACATTCCAGTGTGCAAACACGAGTGTATAACACACACTGTAAACTCACAAGCATCCATTTATGGATCTAACCACAGAAACATCGACACCCACTTGTACAATATGCACACATAGGAATACACACAAAACCAGTAGGAACTTAAATGCATCAATATCTGCACACTATCACATGTGTGTGTGGACATCTACCTGTCTAGCCACATTACATGCATGCAGGTACATGCATACCTACTGTACAAGACAGAAAACAGAGAGGAACAGAATGCATATATAATTTAAAAACTGGACAAAGGGGAAAAAATAATACCTCCTAGCAGAGACCTTGTTTCTTCCTCCTAATTCTTGAATGTTGGGGGACACAGTGCCTGGTCTAGAAGATCTGGCCTCTGCGTCAACAGGAAGAATCCAAACGTTTCCCTCTGGATGTCCAGGTGTGCTGCTAGTCATAGGCAGTTGCATGTGCACCTTCCTCAGTGAGGCAGAAAGCCAGGATTTGTTGGGATGTTGAGGGCTCAGTTTAGAAAGAGGCAGGCCTAAACCCACCTCCCGGGTTACCCAGGCCCAGAGCAAGACCAAGCAGCAGCCACCCTATACCGCTCGCCTAGTATTCCAGCTTCTTCTCCCCTGGCTTTACGCAGGGCTAAGCCCAGCAAGGCTCGGTGTCCCACTCCAGACCCACCGCCTGCCAGCAGCATCACTCCCCAAACGAAGAACCTGTTAAGTTCAGGATGCAGAGATCCCAAGAAGGCTCTCACCCTTATGTGTAGCACTTCCCCCCCCCCATCTCTGTCAGTCCTGAGAAGGCCCTTGTGCATTTGGAGAAGAAAAAGCTCTAGCAAATCTTGCACCCCAAAAAAAAGAAAGAAAGTAAGAAAAAAGGAAGTAGAAAGGAAAAGGAAAGGCGCAGGCAGGCACCAGGCGCAGGTTGAACAGATGGATGTCGAAGCTGGCCTGGGCCTGGCACGGTGCAGGGAGCAGCCCGGCAGCCCCTACAGTTTCCGAAGTCAGGACTGGGCTTTTCGGCCTCTGGTTTCCCTTGAGCACAATCGGGGACCAGGTGCTTTTCGCCAGACAGTCCAGTCCCGAGCCAAACCCGAATCTGAGCCACCCTGCCGCGGAACTCCTCCTTTGCCCCCCGCAGTCGCTGTGCCGAAAGGCCTGGCTGAGACGCTGGAGCCCTGTGCCTTGAGTGCGGGCGGCCAGACGGCCTGCGTGCCCGGGCCCATGCCCTTCCCGAGCCCGCAAGGAGGAGGACGGCCAGCGGCTAGTGAGCACAGTGTACACTTTATTTCAGACTACAGGTTTCTGAACATAATAAAATCTTTGGCTTGTAGCGGCGGTTCAGTCTCGCAGTCTGTGGGGTCGTATTTCTCAACGAGTTTCGGGAAAACGAAAGGGGGGCAGGACAGACAGACGGATAGATGGGTTCTGGGAGGTGGGGGAGAGGCGAGGGGCAGACACGCGAGGAAACGCACTCACGCACACAAAGAAAAGTCCCAGAGAAACGAGGGCCAGCGTGGAGGGGGGCATACCGGAGAAGCAAAAACATTCAAAAGAAAAAAGGCAACGAAAACGAAACTGGGCCGGGGGCAGCGAGGCGGGGGAGGGGGATAAAATAATTATAATAATTATAATAATTATAACAATAATAATAAAGGAGATTAATAAAAATGTCCAGCAAATAGAGATCGCTACACATATTTGTTTTCCTTACCTGAAATTAAATATATACAAGGTCGTAAGCGGTTTGGCTAGATAGAGCTTTAAGGAGTTCGCAGTTTCATCCCTTATAGTGTGAATAGAGAATAGACCATATTTTTCGATAGCACCTGTCCGAGTCTTTCTCCCTTTTCAAAACTGTTTCGTTCAAACGTGCCTGTCCATTCTGAGGATCGCTGTTTCTCTGTCTGTCTTCCCGCTCGCTCCCTCCCTCCAGGCGCAGCAGGAGGCGCAGGCGGCGACGCCGGGAGGGGTGCAGGGCGCCCCGGCAGCCGCAGCTACTCGCTCTCGTCTTTGTCCTGGACCGTGGTCGTAGAGTGGTTGTACAGTCCCTGGGCCATGAGGTGCAGCGCCAGGCCGTTCTTAATGCCCGTGGCTTTCTTGATCTTGGCGCGCTTGTTCTGGAACCAGATCTTGATCTGGGACTCGTTGAGGCTGAGCTCCTGGGCCAGGGTCTGCCGCCGCTGCTCGGTGATGTAGCGGTTAGCCTGGAACTCCGCCTTGAGTCTCTGCAGCTGCTCCGCCGTGAACGCAGTCCGCGGCCGCTTGTCCTCCTTCTCGTTCTTTTTCTTCTTCAGCTTCCTGGTGCGCGGACCTGCAGCAGCGGACAAGGCCGGGTGGGGGTGGGGACGGAGGGCAGAGGGGAGGGGATGAGAGGGCAGAAGAAGCCGTGAGAATGGCCAGCCCAGCCAAGACGGCCGCTTCCGGGGAGATTACGGAGGCCGTGCTGTGCCCCCGGCTCCCTCCTGCCAGCCAAGCCCTGGACCAAAGAGCCCCTCCATAGCTCAGGTCGCTGGGGTCTCCTCGTTACCTGGGGGGGTAGCAGCGGAGGAAAACTGGCGGGATTGAAGGTGCACCCCCCACACTATGCTGTTCTATTGTATTCGCTACAAGAGAGGCAGGGATAGACATTGCAGCGCACTTCTCCCCAGGAAGATGAGAATTCAAGGTAGAGAGAAACTTGGAGCCCCCATTTGGCCTAGCCCAGAGTTGGGGGTCAGAGGCCTGCTGTCTTCATAGCTCTGCAATAAAAAGGACTAGGGCTGGAAGGGCAGGCCCTAGGGGTATGTGCACTGCAGAGCTAACCCCCTACACACACATGTTATTTCTCCAGAAGCTACCTCAACTGGGCATCTACAATAAAACCTTGTCTGCTTGCAGCCACTGAGCCTAAAAAACAAGAGGCAGGGAAAAGGCTTTGAGAAGGTTGCCCAGCTCCAAAGAATTTGGTGTCTGCTTTCTCTGCCTACTCTTCTTTCTCTTTGGCCTAAAGGAAGCTCTTTCTAGAGCCTGCGGAAGAACAGGCCCTTACCCAGCTGCAGGCCTACCCCAAGAGCCTCGCCTTTGGGATATTCCTCTTTACCTCTTAGATGGTGTCAATAAGAAAAAGAGCCCTCCGCATTCCTCCACCGGCTGCACAGGCAGGTCCCCCTTATTTCTACCTTGAACATACGTGCTGCAATTTCAGAATTGAAACTTCTGAATAACAGACACAAACCCGACTGGCTTTCTCTGCTCTCCATGACATCTGAAAGGTGACTACATCCCCTTTCCCATCCATGAGCAAAACAGGGGCACAGGGATAGTGCTGTGACCCCAACATGTATCAGGAAAAAGCCACAAGAAGGTTCTCCACGAAGGTGAAGTCTCCTTCAAATGCTAGTCAGTTATAGGATTCAGCCTTGGAGAAGATGGGCCAGAAGCAAATCAGGGGAGGAAGCAACTCCCCCATTGGTCTATGTCTGGAAAACCCAAAACTGTCCTTCTATGCCCAGGTCCCTTGGCATGGACATGCTGGGCCTCGTCTTAGTTAAGGGAGTTTATTATGTTAAGTCCCTGTCCAGACTTTCTAAAACTGTCTGGAAAGAAGGATGTTTATAGGCATCCTCAAACCTAGCATTAGAGGAGTAAGCTGGGCAGCAGGCTCTTGGGGCAGGCCAAGCCCTGGGGTCACCAGCTATCCTATGACAAAGTCCACACCTTATAGATTGTAGTGACTAGGGTCTCAACCAGGGCCCTATGCATGCAGGAATAGAACTGGTATCCTGCCTCTCCTGGCCCACAGGAAGGAGAGGCCAGGAACAAAGACAAGGCCGGCTACAGAGCATATCTGGGTTTTAGGTTAGTAATTAGCTGAGCAGTAGAGATGGGCCAGGATATGTGCCCATTCCCAGGAAGGCCCCACTGCAACGTGTTTATCTGGGGCATGTTAGTGTGTATGTGTGCGTGTGTGTGTGTGTGTGTGTGTGTGTGTGTGCATGTGTGTATATCTGTGCACAGAGGCACGGGCACTTGTAATAAAATCGTAGCCTCCTGGCCAGCCTGAGCCCTGCAGCCTGACAGCTCAATCACTCTATCCATCAGGCGAGTCAATCAAAGCAGCTTTTCGGAGGTTCAGGGAGCCCGAAGTGTCAATAACGGAGCTCGAGATGGCGGGGGCTGATAGTACGCATCGATCTGAGCCTGGTCGGCAGCAGTACAGCAGAGACCAGCCAGAGGAAAGCAGCTGTGTGTGGCTAACTGTGCCTGGCTCCCTAACTTGGGCCAAAGCCCTACTGTCCCCACTGACCTGCCAGGCCCTACAGGCCTATGCATCCAGCAGGCCTCAGGCTCCTCTCCCTGGGCAGAGTGGCTGTCGCAGATTAGGCCAGCCCTTGGGTTCACCAAGCGCAGGGGACACATGAACAAGAGTGGAAAGCAAGCCAAGAAAAACTAGCCTGCCCTGGCAGAAATCTGCTAATTGGCAGATGTGCAGAAAGAAGGAGTCAAAGAAGGAAAAACACAAGGCCCGGAATATATGTCCCACACAGGAGAGAAGCGACAGAGGAAGCTGGGTCTCCTGTCCTTCACTCTGCTTTTGGGCCCCACCGGCTTTCTCTCCTCTCCCACTGACTGCCAGCTCAAGAGCTAAGGGCCCTGGACCTTCATCTAACTGGCAACTGCCCTTCTCTGGATACTACTCACCTGGTCTGACTGTCTTGCTACCCTGCTAGCAGACGGGGCTAGCGTTCAACAGCTCCCCTCTTCCTATGTGTTTCCATGTCTGTCTCTTATCTATGCAAGAACTCTCCCAGAAAATATGGCGATAACGGTCGTGTCTCCAAGAACACAAAACAAAGATTATTTCTCTGTCAAAAGCCTGCGCTGGTGAATACCTGCCTCTGCAGGACCAGCCCGGTGTGGTTTCACACCCTGAGCGCTAGGCCTACCTTTGCACCAGCTCTAAACATCCCTTTCCCTGGAGGAAAACTCAATGGCTAATTGTATACATTTCTTAAGAATAATAAAGGTAAAACACAAAGAAAGCCTCAGGGCTGAGAGTTCAAAAACGGAAGGATTAAGACTACAGCCTCCGGTGACAGGAGGTGTTTCCCGGCGATGGCCGCAGAGACCAGGTTCGCAGAAGTGGGGTTCACCTTCAGTGGTGGCTGAAACCAGGAGTGAGGAGGAGGAAGGAGGCATGAGAGATGCGAGCTACTGAAGCTGGGTTTGCTCTCCTCAGCGCGGTGGGTTGGAGTTCTGAAGGCCTCTGCCAAGCGGGAAGGCATAGCGAAGCCTACTTAGGTACTCACCGGAGGACGGGCGATCCGAGTATCGAGTGCAGTAGACCCAGGCGGGCCACACAAGGGGCTGCTGCGAGTCAGTTTTGACCACGGGCCCGCCGTTGGCCGAGCCCATGAGTAGGATGGCAGGGTTGCCGTGCTCCGGGTACTTGGCGCCCGGCGCTCCCGGGCTCCCCGCGCTGCCTCCACTGCCGCCGCCGCTGTCCGAGGGCTTAGACGCTGCCGCCGCCGCCGCCGCCGCCGCTGCAGCCGGGTTCCCGGCTTTGGACGCGCCCGCGCCAGCGGTGGCCGGCTGGGAGCCGTCGGGTGGGCCACAGTTCGCATCCGGGGCGCACAGGAGCGGGCCGGCTCCAGGCGCCCGCGTGCCCAGCGGGTGGACAGGGTCTCTACCTGTGCCAGTCTGGCCTCTGTCACGCTCGGCCCGGCCTCCTCCTCCTCCTGCGCCTCCTCCAGCCGCCGCCGCCACCAGGAGCTGCGGCGGCGGCTGCTCCTTTTTGCAGCCGAAATCCGGCCTCAGGATGTTGTCGATGAAAAAGTTGGTGGTGCGGTGCAGCTGGGCCGCGGGCTGCGGCTGGTGAGCAGGCGCCGCGAGATGCTGCGGCGGCGGCGG